TCAGTTGGGAGTTCTTCAACTCAACACAAATGGGCTATGAAGGCACAAATATTGGATTTTACTCAGTCAAGGCTAACATGCATTTATAGTACAGGAAATCTCTAAGTAAAAGCTAACCAGAAAAAGGAAGTCCTGAAGTGTATACTTAGCACTGCAGTTAGAACTACATAATCCTAAGAAACATTACCATGAAAAGAGAATTTTTTAGCATGTTTTCCTTTATAAAGATACGATTTTACATGCACCTTCCCCCAAATAAAGTCCTGACGCTGGAAGGACATAAAGAGATGGCTTAGTCCAATTCCTTGGTCCAAAATGTATTTTAAACCGTTGTTTAATAGGAGGTAAAAGCTGCAATTACCCAATGTTAATCCTTGAATTAGAATGATAGTCAATCCAGCTGGTGGACAAATGCGTCTCATCCTTAGTCAATGCCCACCAATGTTCACTTCAGATTTAGGGAGAGGTTCCAAGGAAACTGCTGTATTCAGCGAAAAGATACAACTGTTGTAAATACATATCTCACACACCAGCAAGGAAAGAAAGCTCCTTGCCTGTTCTGCAGTTCCAAGAGAAAAGCTGAGCAGAGCACAGTGTTTTGGCACCCATACTGAACATGGGAGGACACCCAGAAAGAAAAGAAAAAGCATTTACAGAGCACCTTTCATACCCTGAATATAACTCTGCAAAGGTCTGAGCTAGATACTGATACACAGTGATTGTAGAGGCAAACACAGAAGTCATTATGACCTCAGAAACAGCTCTGCCCAATTCTAGATGTTGGAACTGGTTTCACTTGAAAGAGTGAATTCTAGCCAAGGTACTGAAGTTATCCATACTCCTTCTGGGAAATGAAGAGTGCCACAGCATCTTTAATTTCCACTTGGACAACCACAAGGGAACTGGCCCCAATAGCCTATGTAAAAGACACCACTTCCAACAATGCACAAGCTTCTAATGCTATTTTGTAGTGCCAACATTGGGCATAAGCCTAAAACTCTGCCTAGAAGTGAGAATGCTTCCACATGAGCCACATCCTTGGCAGTAGCTTACTAACAGCTACTTAATCATAAACCATTTCAACATGCTTTTATTGGGCTTATGTTCTCCTTCTGCTGATTTGGTTGATTTCTGTTGATTTCCTGTTCTCCTTCTGCTGGTCACAAGTGCCCCTTGTGATAACAGAACGCTCTTTTTAGGGGTGAATTATCTCAACGCCAACCAATAAAGAGTCTCCTGTATTTGTGGAGCCTTAAAAAATAAGTAATAAGCAAATAAAGTAAGTGCACAATAATGCAGGGTTATTTATCTTGGGGAGTATACACTACGATATGGATGGGCTGGTGAATGTCTGACAGCTGCATCCCCAAGCAAGAGCAAACAGGGCATGCTTTTGCTCACACTGAAATCAATGAGAACTCGGGCATTAATAGGAACAAAAAGGGACATACTTTTATGACAAAAATTTATAGCATCCAACCTCTAAATTGAACATTTTCCTTAAATGCATCAATATAAATTGGATTTGCTGTTAAAATCCCAACAAGTACTGCACAAACTCAAATGTTAGGAGAATCATATAAAACATACAGCCAATTCTTATAATTCTGTTGGAAACAGCACAAAAGACTCAGCGGTATACACATAGAAAGCTATCTGTAAACAAATGAATGTAGGAGTCACAGTAAAGACGAGAATTCAAACATTTTCCTTCAGTATGAGACAGTGGCAACAAGAGGCAAAGGCAAACAAAACAGGCTAAGGGCTGGAAACGAGCGAAAGGAGAAGTAGGTGTTGCCGGGTCTTTGGTTAAATTTGAAATGTAGCATAACTTAGTCAAACAACACATGAATAGGAGGCCTTCCTCAGAGTGGGCCGTGAAGTACACTCTGGAACTGCTTTCTGTTTAAAATGTGAAAGTAAATTCTGCTCATTCTATGATGTACACCCAAAACCAAGAAGCTGTTTCCAGTATTACCACAATATACTTGTAATCCTTCTATCCAACAATATTTTAGAGGCTGGATTAGACTAGATTACACTTTGAGAGCTGCTGGAACCAAATCAAAATGTCTGCTGGACTTCCTGCCCAACTTAATCCCTCATAAATAAACTTGACAAACCTGCATACACCAAGTTAATAAAGTACAACATGCTTTTCTTCTGACACGCTGTGGTCAGTAACACTGGGACTGTTATGAAATCTTAGTGGTGGAGAAAGGACACACAATACGGTGCAAAAAGCCACCTTGTCCAGAAAGAGGTGCAGATAAGACTCCTTACAACTTAATTTAGGCTCTCTTTTTCCCTCTTTCTCTTAGATCTACTTTTCCTGAAAATTGGTTCCTCACTTGTGTAAATGTCACAAAGAGAAGAGGAAAGATCCAAAATTTGGATGAGTCAAAGGTGACATCACTAAGAAAAACTCCACCACAGCAGGACTATGACACCGAGTGCTACTCTGCTACTACAGTGTAGTTCTTAGGCTATGGAACAGAGCTTGGCAAACGGGCCCACACATTTCAAAGACTATCCTGTATTTGCTTACATTCAGCATCCAGATCTTCGTCAAAGTTACTGAGAATGAAAACTTAACAATACAAACAGCAGAAGCTGACAGAAGTGGAGACAGATAGGAAAAAAAGATACTGATCACTCCTTTAGGACCATCAGTTCTTTCCTACAATACAAATAAGGATTTCTCTGTCTTTTTATAGTAGTGTTTTTGAAAAAGTGAAATTGAGGCAAATGCATTTGGCTACTATGATGTCATCTATTCAAAAATGTAGGCCCACCCCTTCGCAAATTTGGATTCTCTCGAATTAAAGCAATTGTATGAAACATACTTTTCTGAACTACAACAAGCAACATATCCAAAATGACGCACCCTTTTCCATCATCCATTCTAAATAACACTTTTCTGTTTGACTTTCATTTCCCTTTGAGTGAACAGGATTCATGGCTGGGGTCTTTTCCCCTTCAGCAGTATGGTGTACTTCAGCTTTGGTTCACTTTTCAACTTCTACTGTACTGTACCTTCTTGACTGTTTCAAAACACCAGCTCTCAGCTGTGACACTGACTTAATTATTCTACAGAAGACAAATAGACCCTTGAGCTATATCCACAGGTAACTCTATGTAAATCAAGGCCTATCTAAACAGGAAAATTGCCAGTGTACAGGAACCAATACTGAGCATGGTTTCAGTTAAGGACAAGAATAGTTTAACAGCCAGGTTATGGAACCCCTAAATTAACTCACAGTTGTTTGCGCTATCCATAGGTGGAGCATCCATGTTATTAGAAACCATTTTTTAAATGGATTTTTGGAAACTGTTCCAGATAATCTACAATTTCCTGGCAAAGTCAAAGACTAAGGGCCAAATACTGTCCTTACTTGTTTCTGTGTAAACCTGAAATTGAAACATCCTATTATATGCAAGAGCAGCTCTTGGTCTGAAGTCCTGTTCTCTGTATTAAATAACTGCAGTGAGAGTTTCAGACTAGTACAAGCCATTTTACAGCAAGAAGGTGAAGCGGCAGAAGTTTAGCTTGACAAGTTTAATAATCTGTCCTCACTTTTTATGTTGTGTCTTATGAAAAAAAACAGTGAATCTGTGACAGAGCTACAACATATAGTGAAAGAAGCCACACAAATATTATTGAACTTACAGTATTTAAAATTGGACTATATTACTGTAAGTCTGTCCTAGAATACTTTTTATGTCAATAACTCAGAGACTTGTAATATGATAGACTATATAAATCAAGAGCACAAGCCCTGAAAGACAATTTTTCCCCAGGAGAAAACTAGAAAAGAAGAGCACAAAGCAAGAAATAAACATCCAAATCAGGCAAATAAAAGAATAGTGTTTAGAGAAAAAATTCCCAAAAAACAAAATAACCTCCTTGAACTATATCTCCAACTGCACAATCCAGACAGCTCCATTACAACAGAAGAACTATGATAAGAGTAAATAAACAACAGAAGAAACGGAAGTCTGGCTAAAAAGTATTTGAAAATATCTGCAAAAGAAAAAAAATGGATGATGGATTATTTGAACAAAAACCAAAAATTCTATGTAAAGAATTTATAGTATACAATTAAATTATGACACGCAATATATATAATTCCTTGTAGAGAGGAAATGAATAAGGTTTACAAACTAGTTTGATAAGCAGTATGCCAGATGCCTGATATGTCTGTAACCATTAGCAATGACTTCCAAAGGAGTCTCATTACTTCCATAATGGTAGTATATATATGTCATAATATAATTGCAGTAAGCCATGCAGAATTTTACATTAGAATAATAATGCCATACTTGACTTATTCAGCTCTTTGAATATTTAAAGCACTTTGCAAACATTATTCAACTATTACCTACAACAGCCTCGTAAACTATAGCTATATTATCTTTCCTTCCACAGAGGTGCAAACAGATGTTAAGTCACCTGCCCAAGGCCACCAACAAACAATGAAAGAGCTTAATTAAAACTTTCCAGTTCCCAGTTCTGTACCTACACCACAGGACCATGCTTTTTCAAACTGTAAATGAAGCACCTGATTTTAATAAACCAATTTTGAAATACTATTATTCAGAAGCAGTTCTCTATCCACATTTTATGTACAGGCACAAATGATATCACTTATCTCTCTAATTACCTAATATCCTTGTGCAATCATGCAAG